GGAACACTCAAACACTCCTTCCAGCCAAGGAAAAGCTGACAAAGCAGTAAAACCCTTCTCTTGGAGCAATGAATGACAAAGGCTCGCTTGGGAAACTGAAATATGAAGTTTACATCAGGTAGTATTCTTTTGTCTTTCCTGCTATATTTTTGCTATTAAGAACAAACAGCAAAATGGGATTAGGAGTTTGTGGGTTACACAATCTCGCATGTAATAACATCAGCATTTTAAAACCTGTTTCAAAAAAAATTCTTTACAAGCAAAGATCTTGCCATCAAATATAAACATACAATGTTGTTGAGAGCCTCAAAAAGCACAAGGCCATGGCTTTACACTGGTTTAGGCTGCACATCCATTCTCCATTCCCCCACAAACCCCTGCAGTCTGGGAATCCTCTATTAGCCAAACAGTGCCTAATTGGTCTTGAGCACATTGAATGTACCTGCCTGGCTACAATGTTTTACCTGATTTGAGGTAAATTCAAGACATCTGTGAACTCAGAAAGCAGGTTTCCAGATGCTTAGGGAGGGTTCAGACCCTTACAACACTTTTGCCTTCAGCAAAAATGTATTTCAATATAATTATAGTAGATAGCTTTCAATATGTCATCTCTATTATAGCAACTGTAAATTATGAAGTGAATTGCTTGTGTACAAGCATTTCTTCTGGTACAAGCAAAGTGGGAGAACTGTGCAGGGTATGATATATATCTTTTCTTTTTATCCCAGAACAAATCTCAAAGTTAAATTTCATTTGCAAAAACCAACTGTATCCCTTTCCCTTTGGTACAGAGGTAGAAGGATCAACAAGGCCTTTAATTCTTAAAAGCAGGCTTCCCAGGATGCTTGGCTCAAGTTCATTAGGAATTCACCTATTCTAATGCTTGGGCCTTTAATCATAAGAGCATATTTGAAAGGTGCAGTAAAAAGATTTTTCCAAAACTTGTAGCTAATCCCATCCCATAGCTCGGGATGGCATATAAACCTCCATTGCCTGGCCGTCTTTGAGTCTTATAAATATATGGGGATCCTGTACACACAAAATAAAAACTTTGTTTTTTTCTCTCTTAAAAAAAAATAAACAAACTTGCAGCTAATCAACAAAAAGACAAAGAGGCAACCAGGTTTTTCTCCCAGCTAAAGAGGAAGGCAGTGCACTCAAGATGAAAGTATTACAACCCAATCGCTGCAAGCTTTGAAAAATTATCATATTCCTCTTGGGTGTCAGGATCAACATGAGAAAAGTAAAATAATTTTGGTTTTCCTTTTAGGGGGTAGTAATATGCAAGAAACTTACTCTAATATATATTCTAATATTTCAAGAGCATTTATAAGTGAATTTAGATCATTATCACTAAGAATCATTACATCCGAGCCTATGTAATGTAAACATATGATCAAAGGACATTTCCTGGAGGTAAAAAAAAGGACAGGATTTTAAACACAGTACCATTCCTAAAACATACACATAAAGCTGAGCCTTGCAGCTTGGATTTAATTTTGCTCTAACTGTAGCTCTAGTCTGCTTAGCTTTGTAAATGTGGCTATGTTTATAAGGTACTTTAATTTACTGCAGTGGTGGTGTTTGTTAATTTTATGGCAATCTAAATCTAAACAGGCTTCAGATACATTTTCATTACAGCTTCATTGCAAAACACAGTGGAGTAAATAGCTCTGAGATTCCAATGCAGTTTATTTCTTTTAGCAAAAGACTCAACACCCCTTTCTGACAAGGCCTCTGCCTTAACATATATGTTCTTCCTACTTACTAAAAAGGTTTCTGTCACTCAAGTACACATGTTCATGTAATTTTAGGAGGAAAAATATAATTTATAAGGGATTTTAATAGTTAAGAGATTAACTGTAATTAAATATAAAGGGATTAAAATAGTTGGGTTTTGCCCACCTCTACTCTGATTCCATCCCACATGTAATACAACATGAGCAAATCAAGAGAAAAACTGGGATGTATCTGAATTATTTGCAAATTCTAATTGTTAAAAACAAGAGAAGAGACCCAAAATGGAGTCACTTATGCTATGCTCCAAGCCACCCAACCAAGACTACATAATTACAGTTTCAACCTCTCCTAGGAATGTAATCTTAAACCAATCTGGAATTACTAGGTCAGCATGAGTGAGGTAATCTGCCTGATAGAAACCTACCATGCCCTAAAGGTGAACTCACCACAACCAATTCTCTCATTGGTAGTCTAACTTCCTTGTCGTTTTCCTGTCTGCCTACAAGCATCTTTCATTTTGTATAGCTCCTATTTGCTAGATGAGATGCTGACCAATTCATGAATCACTGAATAAAGCCAATAAGAGCTTTAAAATCTGCTCCGTTGAATTTTGTTCTTTTATATACACAAGTAGCAGCATAATTCAACCGGAAAGGAAGGCATATTGTCAGAAACTGATTTCAAAACCCTATTCTGACACTAACTAGATGTGTGACACTGGACAAATTACTTGAGTTTCATTTTCTCATCTGTAAAATGGAAATTATAATACCATCATCTATTTTAGAAATATCATGCCTTCATCTGAACTGATGCCTTCATCTCATTTAGTTCTTCACAGCTCTTCTAGTAACTCCAAAGTAAATCCTTGAACGTTCTATCTCAGATAATGTCCCCGTATCCCAAAAGTGTGCAAAGAAAAGATTATCTTAGGTCAACTCACTGATCTTAACAAACTTAGGAACCACAGACAGGAGAGCAATAAAAACCAGCCCCAAAGACCACTCAAGAGAACTAAATGCTAATGTTATTTCTAAACCAATTCAGAACCTACAGGAGAAAATTTGTAAACTAAATTTCTGTTGAATCAGTCAACTAGTCGTCATGTTTTATTTGTCCACAATACTGCATAGATTTCATATATCCATTATTTCTTGTGTTAAAAATGAGACAGGAAATATACATTCAATGGTTTTTATTAGGCTACTGAACTTATCTAGAAATAAGATTCATGACTAAACTTTAAAATTCATTATTTCCCAGTCTGACATTTAAAACAAAAATACAAACAGTAGGTTAGTATATGAAGATCTTGTGTGTACATGTGTGTTTTTAAAAGAAACAAAACAAAAACCTTAATGACAACGACTGATGCCAGTTTCACCCAACTTTCAACAGGGCTAAAGGGAGAAAATAAGGAGGCTGGTGTGAAGGAATATGGCAGAAGATAGTAAGGAACCACCTTAATTCCTCATCTATAAGTACTGGCCAATTGACCCCTAATTCTACAGATCTTTCCATGCAAAGTGACTGGTAGTATTTATTTAGTAAGTATGTACGATGTATTTAACAGAAAGTTATGCAATTAGGGTTATCCTACAAATTAGAGCCGTTTTCTACTGTTAATGCTCAGGGCAACCTTTTCAACCATGACTTATTTTGTTTACTCTCAATTATTCATATGTCAAATCAGAAAGCTCAATTTTTTAATATACATACACAGGCTATTTTTCCAAAATTCTCATTTGCACATCTTCCACCAAAAATTATTCCTGCAAATGAGACTAGAGATACAGTATGAGATCCCAGAAAGCCTATTCAGAAAAAAAGACATCTTATAATATTAATTTATATTGTATTTTAACATAAAGCTACATAAATCTTTCTACCATTCCTCAAAACACACTCACCTCTGGGACAGAATCCAGCATTTGCTTATTAATACCATATCCAGAACATTAGAGAAGGCAATGAAAAAAATAACATATACAACTAAAGCTACATGGGGAACTTAGAAGAAAAATCAATATTAAAACTAACCAAGACATCACACTAAGGTCTTCAAACTTTAATAAATGCCTGATTACACAATGAAGTATCTATGGATAAAACGATATGATGCCTAGGACTTATTTTAAAATACTCCCCATGCCAAAAAAAAGGGGGGCCAGGGGAGATGGACAAAATAAGATTGACATTGATCTTTGCTATTCATCTGGATGATGGGTATCTAGGAGGTTTCTTATTTTAGGGTGAACTCTATAACCAATAAACAACTATTTATGACCTAAAAACCTGACAGTTTCATAGGATTAAGCTTAATATTCTCTTTATTAAAAGTACACTTAAACATTTCCGTGATAATTTTTTAAAATTACCTTTCAGTGAGAATTCCTCAAACTAAGCAGGTTTTTAGCCTTTAATGAACAACTAAAATATGTTTAAAATGAACCACCAACATTTTACCTTATTTCACTGAATCTAAGACTACCCCATATTTCAGCATCCCTGGGAAGCATTTTATTATCAATGGCAGGTTATACTTCAATGGGGCAATTAACTTTTTCTTGGTGGTGGTACCATACACAATGATACAGCTTAAAATCAAAGATATCTTAGATTCAATGAAGTATGGTTAATATAATTGCTGAGAACAGCATTTTTAATCCATACTTTCTTTCTAATCAGGAATTTAGCACACAATGCCTTGTGTTCTCTGCCCCAGGAAACCTATAATTATCTTGGGAGGTCTCCTCAGAGAGAAAGGCCAGAACCTGCTTACTTTGTTAAGTTAGCTCCCTCCCCTCAGCTGGGCATAATCCTTAAGAATTAACTCCTAGGAGGATTCTAGAACTCACAGCATAGCAGGCAGAGCTCGCTAGGCAAGGTTTCCCCTTAAAATTTGTTATAATAGCTATGAACAAGGCCAGTGCATAAATGTTAATGATCCAGAGCTTTGACGAGCACCAAGCAGTGAGGTTACAGGGGAAGGATGGCTGCAGGTGTGGCCGTAAGGGCATGTAATGTGGAGAATGAGTAAAACTAAAGCAAGTAGATGGGATAAAATAGGCTTAGCGTCACCTATAAAATCTCAAAGGGACTTCATTTCACGAATTCAACAGTTCACTTGGATTTCTGCATTGACCTTATTTGTTTTGCTCTTAACACCTACCCCTCGCAGCCCTCAGAATGAGTTAGCACGGTCTATTAGAAGAGCAATAGAGGGTTTGTGCAGGACTATGAGAGTGGCGGCTGCTGACCTGTTCATATTTCTCCAGTTCTGTGTGATAGATTTGTCTGATCTGGGTCAATTTGGCTCTGTAATCTGAGTGTTCAATAGAGTTATCTGAAGAACCTCCAGAGGCTGCCGCGGCTGCAGCTGCTGCCGCCGATCCCCCACCTTTCTCAGGACCTGAAACCCCTTCTGCCAAAAGCATATTGTCCAGTCTCATTAGCTGGGGATCGGGAGGGTCCTCCTCCTGCGCTCCTCTGATGCTGAGACCTTCAAGGAAAGAGAGAGAGAGAGAGACAGAGAGAGAAGAAGCGAGAAATAGGACAAATAGTGTGAGTATTTTATTTATTTGAGTAAATGATCAAACAACATCAGTGCACTACAATTCATGCTGAGAATTTCATTGTTTGCATTTTATCAATAAGTACCAGTAAGTATGAAAATTCTTACATCTATGAAATGTCTAATATCACTCTCTCTCAATATATTCTGACTAGATCCTTGGAAAAAGGTAACCCTGGCTTCTCAGAATATTCTAACACGCAATCTTCCCAGGTTTAGATGACTTAAGCAAAAATGGGACAGGGGTAAAATTTTCAAGATTTTTGACAAAGAAAAAAAATAATTCCAAGGATACAAAACAAACCTATCAAAAGGCAGTTATTCTGTTTCTCCATACTGTTGGAAGAACAGAATTTAAAATCCCATAATATATTCACAAGCTATATTCAAAAATTAGAAAATAAACAGGATTAGATGGGCTTTTCCATCATGTAATTTCAGGGAGAGAAGAGAAATACATACATTATGAGGTAATTAGCTATGCTTTAAAAATATATATTATTAAATGAATTTGTTAAGCAATCGCCATCAAACCAGGACACTAAATACAGGATTAAAAATATGCCATCAACATGGCAATGCAGTGCTGGGCACAGTAGTCTCAGTCTAATTTTGCTTTTAAATCAAGAACTTCCTAAGTGATGCCCAGTCAGCAACCTCATCTGAGTATTATAGATCACAGCTGACAATTCATAGGTTTAATCAGGTCACATAGGCTTTCTGCCAAGACGTTTTCAACAACACAGAAGACAGAAGTTTTAAAATAATTATCACAGTATAAAAAGCACTGGAGTCATGACAGCTCAAAATCAGCATTTTCATTAGTGTGTAACATAATCTAAAATATCCCAGCCCAATTAACCTCTGTAAATCTGTTTAAAAGCAGGATCCCCACACTAGTTACAAGGCATCTTGGGGAAGGAGGGGATGGAAGTTGGCATCTTGCATGTCTGCATTTGGATTCTGTCTTTTGCGTCTGTGCCTGTTGTTGTTTATCCACAGTGGTGCACACTCTGTGTCTAGTGTAACTTACATGACAGTAACATCTATAAGCTGCCAAGTACTCAACTGAGTACCAGCTCTGCTATTTTATATGCTAACCTAAAACTACCATCAATTCTCTTTAAGAACAGATTTCATTCCTAGATGCCCTGAATTATACCCACAGCATGACAGAACTCTTGGTTGTCTTAACTCAAATGCACAACTTTAATTTGCTCCCTCAAAACACTTTAAAGCTGTCACTTTCATTTAAAAATATACTTCAGAATAATTTCAACTGGATAATAAAACTAACTCACAATAATTTAAAATTATATCTGTTGCCTGTTCTGAGATAAATAAGTAAGGGTTGAAAACTACAATATACTAAGATAATAAATTCATTTAGGGAACCAAAATGTTAGATAATTCTCTTAAATAAGATAAAAATCAGTATCAGCACATTGTTGATAATTAAAGGTAGACTAACAGATATTTGCTCTTTCTTCCAGATCTAAGAGAAACTGCTAAATATTGGCTACATTAGTACTTCTAATTTAGCATCTTTGATTTTCTTCCCCTCACTTTGTTAGATGCTAAAATTTCATGGCGTAGAATTCTTACAGTTCCACATACCAAGTGTTTTGTGCATTTGGCATGAAGTAAGGACTCACTGAGTAACCTCTTATTTTGGGCTCTGTTTCATTTTTGTACCATTTTGTTTGGGAGTTCCTTAAGTTTCTCCTTTTTAAATTAAATTTTTGCTCATATATTTGTATTTGTTATTTCCTTTTTATATTTATAGCTACTGATGTTCCTCCTGGAAATGTGGATTTTAATCTACCTTTAAGGTTCTTCCAGGTTTCTAGTTTTCCCCCTGTAGTTATACACCATGGATATTGGTGAGGCTCTTTAATAGTAAATCAACATACATACTCCAAGCTATTACACTCCCCTGAACAGTGTAGCAAATAAGAGAAGATGCTCAATGACTAGTACACAAGGAAACAGACTATATGGGAGACAGAAGAAGGAAACCTGTCAGGAAGAAATGCAAAGGACAGAAAGTAATCACCTACGTATGGCACTTATATATACATACCTAATATGTATGTAAACCCACCATACCAATAGGAAGCAACCCTTAAACTCAGTCACAGTGGACACATATAAAAATAAGTATGTACTTTCAGCTAGCATAACATTCTCCCCTTGCAATGAATAATAACTCTTCTAAAATCACAAGTAAATCAGCACAAAGTTCATACTCCTTTGGATCAAAAGTACTAGAGCACTTCACAGTATGGAAATATTGAGGCTATTTATCAACACTGAAATCATTTTTGTAACTATAGTTGGAAAAGTGAATGCATTTTTTCTCTATTAATCAAAGTCATGATTACAAATTTTTAAATAGCAATAATACAGTTTCCAAAATTATTTTTAATTTGAATATTTCTATTTATTTTCTTATTTTATGTTCAAATTACTATTTTATTCCTCATCCTACTTCCCTCACTGTTACTTAGCTTATTACCAACCTGCCAAAGTCACATCTTCTGATATGATGGCTTCCAATCATAACACCCATTCCTCTACACACCTATAAACATCTTAATGAATCTAAATTTGCAAGAGCCAGATGAATCAAACACTGTGATCTTGATATCTTCACAGTGAAACTTGGGAAAACAATAATTTAAAAATTGATCCGTGTTGTCTTTAATCCAAAACATACACAGGGACAGTGGTTTTCAGGTTTATAAAAGTTTTACATCTGAACTCCTTGGTTATCATAGCATTATAAAGTTAAAACAACAATAACCCCATTTGGAGTCTACTGAAAACCATAACATTCATTTCAGTATCTCTAAGATTTAGATAAATCATACAAACAAAGTAAAACACTGTTTAACAATGAACTTGGCTTTGTTATAAGCCCATGGTTTTTGCATATCTTTCAGCAAATTCTAATTAGCTGTCTTTCAACATGCTGTGCACCTGCCCCACAGATAATGGGAGAGAGCATCTGCATAGACGACTGCATTCGGAGGGCAATAAATAAATTACGGGTCAAAATTATTACAAAGCTTTCTCCGAATAAACGCATACCCTTCACAATACTAAGCTGCAGATGTGAGAAGTACCTTAAGCCCACTCAAATGGTATGATTACGGGGCTGTTTGAGTTTAATAATCTGACTGTAATTCAGGCATTTTCAACAGCTCATTAAGGGTTCATTAATATATAGGCGAGCTTTTGAATTATAAATAAGCAGATTAGAAATCAGCGGTTGCTGGATTGTACAGTAGTAGCCTCTCTAACAGAACAACACAGTAACACAATGCAGGCTTGACCTAAAAGAATGAGGCACAAATACAGGGCACTAACTAAGCTTCGTGGCTCCGTCATTTCAAGGACCAAGCCTACTAGACCATAACTAACCTCTGTTCACCCAGGACTGAAGAATAGCTTCAGACCATGGCTACTTCAAATGTGTTCTACACATGCTCGTGAATTAAGCATAACTAAGATCTAACTTGACAGTATTTCCACAAAGAAGACATACACTATCCATAGTAATGATAAAATTATCAGATCATTTTTATTTTGTGAAGAGTATATTTTTCAGACTTGCTGAGAAACAACAATCTATTATGGAAACTTGAGTTGTTTGATTATTTTCCCCCCACCCCCCACAATGAGCATATTGTAAAAGTAGATCCCAAATTATAAGCTTAGGCCCATGAAATCTGTATAATTTTGTTCTCAGATGGACTTGTTCTTGATTCATTCAACTACCACACTGTGTCTTAGCTCAGAGGAAAATGTTTTAGCAAGAATATTGTGTAAAACAAAGCCAGATCAGATATTTTTAGCAGGCCCTGAGTTCTTGACTGCTTTGAAACCAATGACAGTTTAAAAGTAAGAAGCAGGATTGTGGTCTGAAGTTACAAAGATGATTAAAGAAAATACCAACTTTATTTTCTGTTTCTGTTTAAAATGCTTTCTTCATTTTAGAATCAAGTTAGACACAGTGTGAGAAACATAACCCAAATTGCAGATAAAGAAGACAGATTAATATCGATGTGTTGCCACTTTTCTTCCCAAACATAAAAAGGTAAAATAATTTTCCACCTGAAATCCTTAAGTAAGAAGCAGTTTAAGTATGAAACAGGAGACCTGGAAATGAAATGAAGGTCACAAACCCTGAAGTTATAAGATCTCATTTGCAACAATTACTTTTTGGATGTGGAAACTGAAATATAATTTGGAAACAAAGTAAAGAAAGATACTGAAAAAAATCCCTTAAGGCACCATTATCTAAACTAGATGCAGTATGGGGATGAGGAGGAGGGTCCGAGCTCTCAGATAAAAAGCAGGTGGACTACAGATAGGGCTAAGTGGTAGCCAAGCCCAAGTCCAGGGAAGGCAGATCCTTGTATGGGGTCTGACTAGGTAAGAGACATCAACATTAATGACAACAGCAAAAAACCTATGGAATTATATCAGCACCTCCTAAAGAAAGATCTGGAATAACATTTGCACCTGAATTTCACACTCTCTTTCTTAGGTCTAAAGATGAAACTTGTAATGAAAGGGAAGAATCATAATATTTTGTAGATATCAATAGACGCAACTATAAAGACAACTAATTTTTAAGACATTATGAGGAAGTGACAGATGATCTAGTTGTCAACCACAACCCACGGCCCCATGCCCATCCCACTCCAGCTCCAAGTCTCCTTTGAAGCCAATGTTAGTGTCTAATCCACTGAATATGGCAGTCATATTGCAAGCTAATGTCACTTTCACTCCTATTTAAGGTGACTGTGTGGTGTGTGCACGTTTTTCATGTCAGGTATATTAAATATAACACGGCAATGCACTGCACATTTCCACGCCAACCTAGTTGTCACTTTCGCTTGACTCATTCTCT